CGGACTCAACGTTCTCTTTGGGCTCGGTTTGGGGCAGATTTTCTTTTGGCATGACTGTTGGATGGGCGAGTCCACCTTGGCATCTATCTTCCCCTACAGACAGCATACATCTGCGAGGGTGCAGGAATTTTTTAGAGAAATTGGATGGGATTTTGGGCGATTACTACAGATTCTTCCATCATTTATGGCAGAACAAATTGCATATATTCCTCTTTGCCTTGATGCCTCGGATCGTATTTTCTGGAAGGTCACGTCCGATGGTAGAATTACTACTAAATCAGCTTGGCAGTTGATCCGTTCTAGCAAGCCAGCTCAAGATTCTTTTCGCTTATTATGGACCCCTGTCATGCCTCCAACCGTTTCTTTCTTCTGTTGGAGACTATGGCAGAACTTGATACCTGTGGATGTTATTATTCAGAGAAGGACTAGCATTCAATTGACTTCTAAATGTCAATGTTGCTCTGCGATCGAGACCATCACTCATATATTTACTGATAGCAGTATATCAGAGCATGTATGGCAGCATTTTGGAGATTTATTTCAAATTACTATGAGTTTAGGAGAAAGTGTTAGACAGAGATTCCTTATTGATCTTTGGTGCAGTCTCCTGAACCATCTTTGGGCTTTGTCTCCCAATGTCAGGGGGAAGGCACTGTACATTATGGCATTTCCCACTCCTTGTAGTTCCATCGAAGACGTATATTTGTCCAAGTGACTCAAGAGGTCTCCTTCCCCTTGATACTGCCAGTAAGCTATGGCATTTTCATCTTTTCAGGCAAGGGTTCGGCTAGGATGTCTTCAGTGAATGGAGAATGGCATTTTGTTAGGTATTCATCTAGGCTTCCTCCGTTTCTAGCCTCCAAATCAGCTATATACCTCTTTAAGGCAGTCATCCCGGGCTCAGTTTGTTTCGCAGGATGAGTCGTGTGAGGCCCGTCATGTTTACTTGTAGGCGTTAAAGATTGTTGGGAACCGAGCCTGTTGAATACACTATTTGTCCTCCTAGTAGTTGGTTTTGTTGCTATGGGGAAACTCCTACAGTCTTGCCTTTTGAGGATTCTCCATTCGAAAATTGGAGAGTTCTCCTAGTGGGAGGTCCCTGGTTCTTTCCTTACGGGGGAACTCCATCTCGATTTTTTGAAGCAGATTGCGAGCTTGATTTTGCTCCAATCTGCTGATAACATTTGTCAATTTTTCAATAGCCTTCTTCATTGCCATTGTTTGGGGGTCAATGGTGTCGTCTTGACCTCGTCTGGTGCCTACAGTTGGTGAGTTACGATCTTGCTCAGGGCAAGTGTGGGATTGATTTTCAGAAACTGAAAGTTCATCCATGATGATATTTTTGTGGGTTTTTTGGAGAGTTAGGGCTGCCTTTACAAGATAGGGACCCTCCTTCTAGCACCAAACTGTTGACGTCGAAAATTGTATGTATAAAATTCAAGCCAACTTAGAGCATAAATGAAGATTTTTACTGATAATGACTTGTAAATCACAAGAGTAAACTACAAGTGTTTTTCTTTGATCTTGTCAAATGAGATATTCAAAGTATGAATAACGTAGGAAGAGTTCTCATGAGTTCAAGTTCTCCCCCTTCTTCATCATTATTC